TGAATGCCAATCGCGACATCTGCCAATGGTACTGAACGGAGGGAATATCAAATTGAAATTTGTCCGGATTTTGGCGACGCACCCTGTACATTGCATGGATGTAGTCAGATATCAAACTTGAGGAATTTAATGGTGTCTTTCGTCCAGAAGCAATGGACCAATGAGACAGATGTAACAAAGTCTTTGGCCAATCTTGTTGAATATCATGTACGAATACGCAAGTAAGTCAATAACTACATAATCTTATTGTTTTATTTTCTATATGTACAAAATAGGTTATCATTTTTATACAACTATGTGATCATTATGGTATAATTATATTACATTGACATTTTAAGATACGTAAAATTAGTAAATACGTCATTGGGATTAATGATACTGGTCCAAATAGGAGGAGTGACTTTAATGTTATGCATAGCAACATTTTCTCTGATAGCAGTGAGTAGTTTTGTTTTAGTATAAAAATAATAACACATATGTGTGTAAAACTATACTAGAATCGACGTNACCTACTTTAAACCTAACTTGGAGAAAATGGAAATTTGTGACACTTTTAGGTTGAAAGTAGGAGCAAATTTTATCCTTGCAATTGAACCTACTTTACTATCGTAACTCCTATATATAGTAGAATGAGAGGTTCATCAGAGAGTCAAAATTTCGACTCGGGATATGTACAAGTTTTCTACTCAACTTCTTCATTATCTATTGCTTCTTTTTTATTTTCCACAAGTAAACTCTTATTCGTATATTGACCATTGATTGTAGTATATTAAAGTAAAATATTTAAGAGACAAGCAATATGCCTATATTTCACATGCTTCAATTTCTATGTTGACATCTTTACGTAGTTATTACGAAACATAAACGCAAATAAAACTGTTTCTCTAAAAACAAAAGTATAGATATAACTCTCAAAAAGTTTTCTTGATTCATGGCACAATCAAATGCACATAAAAGTTGTATAATATCTTGAGTTTTTTATATCTCTCACAAGCAATATAAACATCTTTAACATGTGCATGCGCAGTTTGACTTTATAACCTTCTCGACAACAGTTCCATTCCTAATTCAACGTTCGTCATGAACGTACAGCCTAACGTACCAAAGTCACAAAATCGTAAAGCGGACTTCAAAAACATAAACTATGTTTCGTATACACTGCTGTACTCACGAATAGCCTTGCTACTTTTTGGAGTATCTCCGATCATCAAATACAACACCAAGTTAAAGAAATTTTACAAAATAGTAATTAATTTCGTTATTTATTTTATAATTTGGTTCGTCTTAGTAACAGCATTATTACAATTAACTTTACGTGAAAAAGAGATTCAAGTCTGTTTAAGAAAAAGTCCACTTCTAGTACTTCTTTCTATGAGTATAGCGAAATATACGTGTTTACTATTCAATCGAAATAAACTTGTGTATTGTCTGAAAATACTTGAGGAAGATTGGAAGAACATACCCGACGCACGAAATCTGATGATAAATAGTACAAAATTAGCCAGAAGTTTTACTCTCTTGAATGTATTTATAACCGACTTAGCGTTCGTATCCAATCGAGTGTGTCTACCATTATATATGCGAAAAACTTACATCGCACTAAACATTACAAAACAACTACCTCATCCGTTTCCGACGTTTTTATTTTCTATCGACATACAAGCCACTCCTACTTACGAATTAATCTATACAATTCATATTGTATGTGCAATTATATCGATGACATTAACTGTATGTCCATGTACTATAACAATGGCTTGCACATTGCACGGATGTAGTCAAATATCACATTTGAGGAATTTAATGGTGTCTTTCATCCAGACGCAATGGACCAATGAGACAGATGTAACAAAGTCTTTGGCCAATCTTGTTGAATATCATGTACGAATACGCAAGTAAGTCAATAAACACGTAATCTTGTTTTTTATATTTTCTATAGATACAAAATAGGTTAATCGTTTTTATACAATTATGTTATGATAGTATGGTCATTATGTTATAATAGTATTACATTGACATTTTAAGATTCGTAAACGCAATAAATACGTCGTTGGGATTAATGATATTGATCCAAATAGGAGGAGAAACTTTAATATTATGCATAGGAGCATTTTCTTTAATAGCAGTGAGTAGTTTTGTTTTAATATAAAAATAATACTACATCAATGTGTGAAAGTACACTAGAATCTAAGTACAATGAAAGGTATGATCGCGTATGAAACATACGCGAAAATTTGTACTTTACAAAGTATACTTGTACTTTAAAACTTGTACTTTACTAATAGTATAGAAACTATACACAACAATCACTGTTTTTTTCATGTACAACAAAATGATACATAGTTGTTTGAAAAAATTATAATATGTTAAAGAATATGTAAATCATTTTTTCAGGAATATGAACAAAGCAATATTTTAAATATATACGTTCTTTCTATAATACTTGTGAGTTGCTTACTAAATATATTTTTCTCCACTTATGTGGGAGATTTGCTTATCAGAAACGTACGTTACCTATTTTGAAAACAACACATTATTATACATATATTTTCTTTGTTAAGAATATTTATAATCTAGTAAGCGTTATTTACATTTAAGATATTTTCTAAGGCACGTTTAATATAAAATACCTGTGAGATGCAAAAAAGCGCTTTGTTTGTTACGTACTTCGCTATCAAATATAGTCTGATATATATATATAGTAGAATGTCGTTTATTTTATGTACAATTCCGCACATAATCTTACAATACTATAATAGACAGATCAGCTATTTATCACATCATGCACTCTCGAATGGTATCATCTTTCGGTGAAGAAAGCGCGAGATGTGGTGCTGCTAATGATGGTATGTTCCGCGCCGCTTAAGATCACTCCTGGGGGAGTTTTTGAACTATCATTGAAGATGT